TAAGGTAATCCAGTTATGTTACTTAAGATTAATGTTTTCAACACAAAATGTTCCTCAAATCATGCTTAATTAAATTCAATTAAAACAAACTATATATCATAAAGAAATAACGCTATTTATTTTTTACACTGTCTTCCTGGCTTGCTGCTACTTTTTCTCAGTGTATATTACATTTTCGCCATTTTTTTATTTATTTGTTATGCTCATTACTCCTACACCCACTAAGGTTAGATTTTATGTCTTAAACTCTTCTTTGTTGATCCCACATGCACAGTAGCATTGGTCAACGATAATTCTGTCTTAGGCCTAACCCCAGCTGAGGGTTTTATTGTTTTTAAATAATGTATTAGCTTTCTCCTATAACAATAATATTTTGTTCTTGTAAGTGTTCTGTGTTTTTTCTGTGTCTTAATAAACAAAATGCAGATAATAATCCATATTTAAACACTTCAGAAAATATTCCTAAATTATATTATAAGGCATTTTCAAAAAATACTTGTGTACATGTGTGTTTAGACATATAAAGAGACGTAACAGGTATATCGCTTAAAACGATGTGTAGCTATGATAGATTGTTGAGCACAGGTGAACAGTTGATAATTGTTTTGCAAGAAAGAAATTTTCATCTACAAATAATAGCAACTTTTCAGTAAGTTCATTTAAGGATTGAACGTCTGTCAGATTGCAGTTGAAGCCAATATGAATGCAATTTGGGTGACAGGACGTTACGATTATTTATCTGTCACACAGATGGCATTCATATTGGCTGAGGTAAATCTCGAAAAATGTCTGTAGTTTATAGTAGTGAAGCATCCGTAGCACAAGGGTTTTTCTTCGATTCGCCAGCCTGAAGTATGAGGGTTGTTCTATCTTTGTAACCTCAATGTACATTGGTCCAGCTCTTACGATATGTCCAAAACTGGTCATTGAAGACTAACCTGTGGCCAACCCTCGTAGTTGATTGTTTAACATCTTGAATCATTTTAAATTAATGCCTATTAATCTCTCTTTTGGATTTAAATGTGTTCTGTTGTCTCGATCTCAACTCGAACTGAAATCAACTGTTTAAAAACAATCACGTGGCGGATTGCAATGAATCACGTGCACTTGATATAACACATATCAGGTAAGCGATTGAACGCTATTTGGCCTCTCTTCTGTCCTTTCCACGTTTTGTATATGTTAGCTTTTGTCTCCAGCTTGTTGACGACCTACCGATGCCCGAACAGGTGCAATGCCCAGCAATTACTGTAATTCAAGGCTACAGATAAACCTTGTGAGCATGCTAGCACGGACTATAATAATCCGTAATGATACCTGTTCGATCCCAACGGGCCCGGGGTGCATGTTTATATCACTCATATCTTTTGAGCTGTTCGTTAGATGCTAGTAAATAGCCACACATGTTACTGAAACTGACCATTTGACCGAATCTATGAAGACCTTGATTGACCGCACAGTATGGTGTCTGAAATTCATACCAACAATCAACGATCATCAAGGCCATTGGTTTTCTCGTATGTCTACACAGGGACCGGGGAACTTGTTACAGTAAGTTTATATGGACCTATCCTGATGTGTAGAGAGAATAACATTGGACTTTTGGGGGGTTTACATCGATTCTCGGTAGAAATGCCACCCATAAAACGACCCCTTCCTCACTTATCATTCGGGATTGCATCTTACCGGAAATTGATCTAAACCCCTAAAACATCTTGTGATATTCCGTGTACATCAACTGTAACTAGTCCTCGGGTCCCTGTGCTTTAAAGAACATCTCAACTCTCTGAGATCGATGCTGAAGGAGTAACGCGAAAATTAACATCACACAAAAACAGTATGCTACAGCTTTTATTTTTCTGCTGTCTGTTTGTTATTTATGTACTTGTTTATGGAGCTTCCGGTTTCCAAAACATGAACTTCCGGTTTCCGAAGCCGAGATTAATATGGGCTCATATTTCCGGTATAATGTATACAACGAATTTTACAAAGTTGAGAGTGTACTTCATCAATAAAAAAAGAGAATCGTTCAATTTCAAACTCATGTTGTGTGAAGCGACATGTTTCTTTTCGTTATGTGACAACACTAAATGTCTGTTAGAGACATCGCCGTTCTGACAAATGGTTTCGAAACAGCATGACCGTCGTCTCAGAGTATTAGATTTAATGGGATCCACACACAGTTATCACCAATAAGTCGGCTTTGTTCTGTTCCGTACCCATAGGTCATACTTTGTGTATCCGATAATTGATATGTCAATTCGTTCACGGAACGTGTTGTTTTTCTATTGTTTGGTTGTCAAGGGCGACACACGACGCTTTCAGAACTGTCACGATACAGGTAATCAACGTTTATATTAGATAGCATTCGACAATTTCTTCATTCATAGTAAAATGTTAATAAATCGACACATTCACCCCTGTTAATTGGTACTACACGTATCTCTACGGAAAATGATCATAGTTCGGGTTCAAATTACTTTTAGTACACGGTGATTTCTTCACTTTGTGATGTAAGCATGACTCGGCCATTTCGTTAGGACGATAATCGACGAGGGTCATTACGTCACTGTATCATGGTACAAACACATTTATTTATCTTTTATTTAATAAATTATTTTATAAATCTAGAAATATACATCATGCAGTGTGAACATGTGGTATAAGAAGTGCTTAACCTTCTGAGACATCTGGTCTCGTCCTTTTTTCCCACATAAGTTCTTTATTTTTGTTTTGGTATCCATTTCCGGTTGTGAACTAGCACTTTCTTGATAGTAACATCCCTGCTTCCCCAACCTTCGATGTCTTTCCATACTGTAGTTCAGATCTGAGTTTGACGCTGTGGTGTAAATATATTTCTAATTTACCTCATCAATCGGTTTTATGTACACCGAAAATTAAAAAATAAACGATCCTTTTTATCAGAAGATATTTTTTCAGGATAATAAAAATCCAAATAAACGATGTTATTTAAACGATGTTGCATATAACAATGAAAGATATTTCTTCCATATTCATTATTTTTTCATAATCTACCTCATGGGCCATACTGCAAAACCCCTGCCGTATATAAGTTTGATTATGCGAAATCCTATTCTCGCGTTTACGAAATAAATGCATACCATGTGATATTTTCCAAATTCACATTGTATATAATGTTACATAACCAGACATTTTCTCTGTCCTATTAAACACCTGCCTTTCGAGTTAATCTGTTTTTGTTAGCCGTAGTTATTTCCAATATGCAGAAGAGTTAGTCACAAGGGAGGGATTTATTTAAGTGTTGAGGTTCTTTGGTATCACAGAAATCTGTTCAAAAGGGCAATAATCGTGAACAATATTATCCCATATCTTATGTGAGTTTATTTCTGTTTAATCCAAAGGCTTAAAAAGTGCTTCAGAATAAATGTAGAGTCTCATTTTGTCACGATTCCGCCTCTTACTACACGAAATGATTTAATACGGAAGAAATCCTCCAATATTGAATAAACTGATACTTTGTTTGCAACATAACATTAAAATCCTAACAAGGAAATTGGATAATAGTGTTAAATAGAAATGTGTTTATCGCAAACCGGAAGTTAAAAGAACTAAAAAAAAACGGAGGTAAAAACTAGCCACGAAACCAACTCCGTAGATGGTACAAGAAACTCAAAAGACGGCTAATTGACAAAGTCTTACTTACAAGAATTTCAAAAACACTTTTCATTGGTTTATAACCTTGAATTATTGGACAATGCGCGTGCTGGGTTATTTTCGAACAGAACAACGGTCTTCCAAAAACCCTCCACCGCACAAGCGAGTCGCGTAACTGGTTCCATTAGTCGAATGCAGGTTCCTGCATTTAATTTTGTATATATTTGCTTACGGAGCCCCCTAAGGGATAGGTAAATGCTAGCGGACCAACAGGAAAATATATTTAACTTCTAGTTCTACTTAAAACCTGTCAAGCTCACGGTCAGAATGTCAAGTTCCGCTGAAGGTGACTTGAAATAGTATTTGTAAATCTGTCAAATGTTGATTTCATGTATTGAGGTGCGATGCTGATAGATTGGTGGATTTGATTGATTGAAATAAACATCTGACATGAAGCATGACGTCAGTGTTTATTGGTTATCGTCGTCTGTCGACCAAATGGCGAATATATCCAGGTTAATTCACAAAATAGGAAAACTGCCCACAGGGCCAGAAATGAGAGAAACGAGCAGCTAGTTGTGAAATGATGAAATAAAGGCATCACGTGACAAATGTTAGCGCGCGCAAAATAAAGCCTAATTGAAATAATTAGATTATCTGGATCACCTTGTTTATCATCGCCGTACGGAGGTAGAAACGAAGGTGACATTCATTACATCGCAAGCGGCCGCCTTCGTAAATTATTTTTTCCAACAATTTCTCATCCTCGTTATATGTACACACATACGTTGATTATTTCTTAAACAAAAATATATACAATATAAAAGTGTTCCTCTTGACTACACTTCGAAACGTTATCAAAGTAAGAGGGAGTGGTTAGAGAGAGGAATTAAAGAGAAAATTATTATTTATACAAGCGACATAAATGTTTCGACAACCTAAGGGTGTATGCCACCTTACACATTATAGCTGTAATTTGTGTTAGAAGTTTCTCCTTCACTTATTTTTAATAAGCTTTATGTAGTATTCTGGAATTGATACTTTAAAGCACTCATGCTTGAGGTTTAATGTGTCATAATTAAATAACAAAAAAACTTACCATTGATATTCGTGTTGTAAATGGGAACTCTTTTTGAAATGAGGTACGTTAAGTCCATGAAACAATAAAATGACATACAGCCTTAAATTGTTAAAAATGAAAACAAGCCTTTACTTTATAAATTATATGTCAGCTAATTACATACTATTTATAAATATTCATGAAGTTGCGTTACGGGCGTAATGGATTTATTGGTCAAACGATTGTTAAATTAATTATGATATCTGATTCCGTTTTGTTTTATTATATGTTTTTCTCTTTACAGACTGTCGTCAATGATCACATCAGTGAAGCATAAAGGGAACTCGCCGACACAAAAGAACGTCAAATAAAAGGACACTCGGAGTGCGAGAAACGACCAATATCTGTATCAGCGAACACGGGTTCGGAGTGTGCTTGGAAATTAAGAGCGCCCTGATCAGAAAAACAATTTGCGTTCGCTGAGTCATTTTCATTATGAATGACGATTTCTCTGGATATCATATACCAAATGTCACTGGTAATAACTCAGCAGTTTTGGATGTATTCGACACGTCAACCATGGGTAATTACGTCTCAACTGTGGAAGAAATTTCAGGACTTCGGAAATTCGAGGAATGGTATAAACCCATACACGGATACCTAGCGGCCATTGTTTGTGTTTTTGGAGTGATCGCTAATATATTAAATATTGTAGTATTGACGAGAAAAAATATGCAAACTTCCACTAATGTCATTCTAACTGGATTAGCTATATCGGATGGCGTTACTATGGCCGCTTACTTCCCTTGGGCTCTTTGGATGTACATTATATATGGAACGGACGTCAGTCCGAAACGGGACACGCTTGAATGCGCACGTTTCCAGATGTGGTACGCCATTTTTAGTGTGATCGTCCACTCTATATCAATATGGCTGACCGTCACTCTTGCAGTATTTAGGTATGTAAATAATATCCATTTTTATTAATTCCGGCTTTGACCGGAAGTTTGTGGGTGGTTTTTTTTCGTTAATTCGTTTCTATCTCAGTGTTAAGGTATGTAGAATGTTCATTTTAACCTCTTCCGGTTTTAAGCGGTAGCGTTTGTTTGTTCATTTTTTCGTTTCCTGTTAATGCACGCACAAGTATAGTATAAATATTTTTTGCGGTGTACCGTACCTTCTGTTTAGGCAAAATAATTTGTTGTATGTTATCTTTGATATTTTAACATGCATAAAGTTATATTGACTATTGAGTATTCCTTTGGATCTATTCCGTAGTTTACGGAATTTCGCTGTTTACTGTACAAAGGGCGTACTTCAAAAGTCACGGTGCTACATAGTTGTTGAACAATATAATATTTCAAACATCCGACAAACGTCGTGCTCAAACTTGTCAAATAAACGACTCGATTGTCGAATACTTAATATGTTTACGTTTCTCACCTTACCGAAAAGGATTGAACGGTATTTTTCAATTTCAATACCGGTATGAACGCAAATAGGTTATACGCACATTCTAAATTTTTAGTTATTTTTTTACCTTATTACCGATATTCTCTTATATTTTCGATATTGAAGTGTCTATATCGTCGGTCCATACGAGGTTCCTTGAACAGCCTAACGTCACCAAAATGTTTGCTTCTAACGGTTGTCTGATGTTATACAAAGCGGGAGGAGAAGCTTCAAAATGACACTGATCAAATTGCGTTCATAGCTCAATGACCGCAATTTCCTCTTAGCATGCTTATAGAAGAACTTGCAAAACTAAAATCAAAACCCTTATAATCTGTATTTAATTGTTAAGACTCAATCGCGAACATTTCTTAAATACTTTGACATATCTAAATATCCTCTTATTGTGCGACAACACATAAGACTGCAACCATAAGTCACTTCTAACCGTCATTCGTCGTTCTTTCTGCCTCCTACCACGATGCTCTGATATGATTTAATCCTCTCTTGACTCTTCGTCTCCGTGTCTCTTTGGGTCTATCTCCTCTTCTTTTTCTCAGTTGCTGTTCTTTTTGCTACGCTCATGTCTTAGCCTTTATCACTTTTTCAGTTTGATATCTGTTCCCAGAGTTTTCTTGTTCGTTGTCCAGTTAAAGTCTTTGCCTGGGTATTTTCTATTTGGAATTGTATATCTTTTGCAAAGAAGTGCTAAACAACGCAGAACGTTGAAATCCCCTTGATTTGCCATCCAATAAGCTGTTTTCACGTTACCGAAGTTAATCATAATTTTATTCTTTCTTGATACGAAGGTTTATTTCAGACAAGTTTCAGTTAACAAAAATTTGTCGTTGCTTTCCTGAGCCTGGTTTTGATGACCTGACTGGTACCATCATCTTCACTACATGTAACTATGTGTTCCGTATGTAGGGGGCAGCGGTGGCCAAGCATTTAAGTCGTCTGACATGCTGCTACCACTAGTCCTCCACCACTGGGTCGCGGGTTCGAGACCTACGTGGGGCGGTCGCCAGGTACTGGCAGTAGGTCGGTAGTTTATCACCGGGAACTCCGGCTTTCTTCCACCACAGTAATCTGGCACCTCCTTAAATGACCACAGCTGTTAATAGGACGTAAAACACAAACAAACCAAACAAAAGTCCCGGATATGTGAAGTCCTCTACCCCTTTTAGACCCTGATCTACGAACTTAATTGGAGTGTTGTTGATGTATATGAAGGATATGGCCTGTGTGTTCCTAGAGTTCACTTTTAGCCCGTATTTCTTTGCATTATTTTAAGTTTAATTGCCTTAAACTCCGTGCTTTTCTTGGTGCCTGATAAGGGTCAAATGTCCTCAGGGTTATCAAAGTCCCGCATGATCGAGTTATTGGTCTATCTTAATATGTTCCCTTTTTCTTAAATTGTTTTCATAACCAATTAATCATATTTAGAAGATTGTTTGTCACCTCCTCTGTCCAAAAACATAAGCAGTATGGTTGTGGTTTTGTTATTGTGACTAGCAAAGAGTTCAACATTGATGCCATCAATAAGTTAAATGAGTTTTCCTCGTTTCCTGACGCCTTCTTTCATCTCCTTATTTGATGGGTTTACTATTAAGAGGTTTAACATTTCAGCGTAAGGTTGGAACTGTGGGACAATGTCAGCTGATTTACAGTTCAGTTCAGGGAGTAACATAACATCCTCGATTCGTCGATACTCCAGGGGTTACGCTCGCTTACGCTCTCTGTACCCCTGGAGTATATCATGACGAAATTGTCGGCAATTGGCAAGCTATTTGATTGGTCTGAGGTTAAAAAAAACCTTCACCAATCGTTAGGCTTATACCTGTCCTTTTTAAGATAATAGAGCAGCGACACTCGACATCAAAGCCAGTCAATTTTTTGGGTACGCTGACTCGCGATTCGTTTGATGTATATCAAATGACCAAGCTAATCTACTTGATTACATCCATAGCGTGGCTCATAATTAAAAAAAAATACTTAGGCGTTATTCCTTTGGTGCATTCTGTATAATTAATTATTCATGCAAATAATCACGAAAGTAAATATTCGCGAAATTCAAATCGATTTAGTATGTACTGAAACAGTTAAACAAGAAAACCTCATTTTGCGACAGTAGATATAAAAATAGTTATTTTCTTAACAACTAAACGCCGCATTGGGCCAGTTCTAAATCGAGATGAGGGGGTTCATAGACTCTTGCACATCTATGACCACGTATTAAACAAAGCGTAGCTGAATCGATTCATTTCGGTACATATATAACAACTATTGTACATACGCTTACAGCGTAGCCGAACGACATCGATTGTGTGGACAACTCGTTCGCTTCACTGGCCATTTGTCTGATGAAGGTGACAGTGAACATACCGTACTAGTCATCGAGACGTCACATAGAAACTCTTATTGGTTGTGTAAAAAGAACCTTTTATAATATTTTCTAGTTAACCTTTTACCTGTATTCGTTGACATTATTAGAAGATATAATATCGTAAACCATTATTTTAAAGCTGTTTTGTTTTTATTTTCAGGTTTATATTCATACGTTTCCCACGGCGAGGAACAAGATATTGCAATATACAGCGAGCAAAATTGGCGGTTGTAATCGTCGTTATCGTCGTAACCATCGTCTGTATACCAAACTCTGTTAATTACGAGATTTACGATGGCTTCGCAGGAGAAATCATTGGGCCCCAATGGGGGAACGCTTCAGTGTATTGGGTAAATCAAAAGAAAAACACCGACTTTCAAGAATTTATCAACAAATTTAATTTCTGGATTCAGGCATTGCTCGTAAAACTATTACCATGCGTAATGCTTACAGTTTTCAGTTTTCTACTCGTCAAGACGATGAGAGATGCGGAAAAACGCCGAAAGAAGCTACTGAGCAAGACTCCGGTCTCTGATGGAGAGAGCGGCGCCACATCAAGTGGAGGGGGAAATCACAAAAAGAACAAGAAAGGCAACAGAAGCAATAGAACAACAACCATGTTGTTACTGGTCGTGTTGTTATTTCTTCTGACGGAGACCCCCCAGGGAGTTCTGAGTGTCCTCAGCGGCCTCATAAAGGGATTTTTCCGGAACGTATACACCCCTCTCGGGGACCTCATAGACATTGTGGCCTTGATCAACAACGGAATTAATTTTGTTCTTTACTGCACCATGAGTAAACAATTCCGAGACACATTTTTTAACATTTTCCTTCGGAACTCTCCGGGAGATCGACGAAAGACTACGACAACATACATCACCACGCAACAGACGCATGCTACTAAGGATTCGGACGTGTAACACACGTGTTAATCAGCAAAGGATGCGTGCATGGACGTGTAATACGCCTGCGAATTATACGTATATATTATAAATATATTGTTAATTATATATTAAAAACGCATTCATTCAAAATGGATTGGTATGGACGTGCAAGCCGCGCATGCGTGTATGCGTGATATGGCAAAGATGTTTTCACTAACTTGGTCATTTTCATGGATAATCACGTGATTATTAAATAGAGTACACGTGTATGGAAAAGCACGTGTTCTGCAGAAGATATGTATAAAAGACTCGCCATCACGTGATATTCATTCATATGAATAATTACGTAAGAAGGTAATGTATCATAATATTTTGTAAATATATCTATAAATATATACAGTATATCGACTGAGCCATATATCTCTCCATATAATTCTATTTATCGGTCTATTTAAACGTGTTGTATGGTTACTGGTCGACCGTCATATACAATATGTTTCCGTGGCGTTTCGTTTTGACAAATCTTCTGTATGTCACACAGGACCTGTTTCCGTGGCTGGTATTTCTTTTTGACAAAAAAAATAAACTGTTTCGGTGGCGCGCTGTGTTTAAACTGCGTTTCTTGTAACTCGCTAAACATTTCTAAAACTTTTCACTGAAAATGGTAATTAGCTTTGTGTATCTCCAATATTTCTCCAAATCACTGAGAAAGTGTCAATTTTTATTGATTAATCGTGGGAATAGAACAAAAAATGAGCTTGAGCGCAGAAAATGAGAACGAACTTGGCTATTGGCTAATTCCGATATTGCATTTCGCAGCAGCTATGGGAAAAACAGTATCCCCGACTTTCAAGGCATACATGTGTATTTACATGTTAAATGAAAAGTAGAAATAACGAAATTCCAGATGAACGATACAAGAAATGTCTCGATATAATTTTATTTACGATTACCAGGAAAATTGACACTGTAGCATTCTTGGTTAACCAATGCAGCGACACGAATCGAGGATTATTTTTTGTGAATATTGTTATTTCGTTTAAAATTTGAAATAGCAAGATTTCACTATACATGTAAACTGTCTGTAACATTGAAAAAAGTTATAAATTTCACTATTTTAGATGCTAAAATTGTTCCGTATTATTCGTGTTTTCAGAAATAGTACATTTTTTTTTATTATGTTTGCTATTTGTATAGGATGTTTTGTTGCTGTGTAACCACAGTATCGGCCTGTCTATCACATACACAATAGATTTGAAACAAAATTTGGTGTAATATGATTTTTTTCTCTCAAATGTGTTGAATATTTGTATACACACATGTCGTAATACTCTAAGCGATTTTTTCATTAAATTGATTGCCTTACCAAAGGTTGCTTGATGTGTAGGTCTGCGAAAAAAACTTACACTTAAATTGGAAAACTTAAAGGCAATGTATATCGGTTTTGATTGATGTCATGTCAAAAAGGTATTTGTATGCTTATATAATTCCTTTGGGAAGCAATGTATATCTTACTCAATTTGTTTTTTTCGTAAATGGGTTTTTATTTATGATTTTTTTTTTTTTTTATGTTCATATATCTTTTAAGGGAAAGAATTACCCAATGAAATGAGCGTGTTTATCACACTTGTCTCACACATCTTTTTACGTGATTGAATGTTATGCCTGTTTTTTTTTTTTTATTAAATTGGTGTTTATAACAAATATAAAATATCCCGTACAATCAAATTTTAACATTAATGTGTTTCATGACGTCATTATATGTTGTTATGACGTCGTCGCATCGTGTTATTCATTGGCATATTTCAGACATTATATAACTTCATGCGATTGAAGGTTTGAGATCGCTCATAACCCCGTGTATTAAGGAGCCTCGCTAATCCGGACACGTCAACGTATGTCTACATAGGAATCTCCCTAATTGGGACACTTAATGTCTGTATCCAAAGGAATGTTCACATTTGACAATTTTCTGAACCCTACTACTCTGGACAACTCAATGTTTGTGTATACAGGATTTTCGCTAGTGCAGACATTTTAGCGTCTTTTCGCTAGCAAATACACTTAAATTGCCGCGAAGAAATTTCTTGTTGGTCTTCGCACATCCGAACACTTCGGTGAGGGAAACACCTTTCTTGGTGGTCTTTTCCGGTATTTCCATGTTTCTTTGACGACTATCCTGAAAAAGAAGTGGTGTTTCTTTGAATTTAAAAAAAGAAATGTAACCTAATGACTTCCATTGTAAATCTTTGCAAATAAGTAAATTTTAAAATTGAACATTGTCTTTATTTTTCGTTCTTGCATCGATGCTACATTTCAATTTCCGTAAGGTGAGATATTCGAATCGGCCGAATTAACGAGGTTCCACAATCAACATTTGTACACGTCATGAATTTGATGAGATTTATGATATTTTTTCATTATAGACTTTATCTATTGTAAACCACATGTTGAAACAATGTATGTACAATGTGTATAGTTATAATTGAACCAAAAAAACAAAATTCATATACTGATATACTTACTGTAAGTCACGTCATTTTCGCGAGAAAAATATTTTCGCATTAATTTTAGATGAAAATCTTTGAAATTCAACTATATTACGATAAGGCATTTTGTTCATTTGAACAGGGCATTTTATAATTTGTTTTGCTTCTTCCACCTAGTCTTTGCGAATATTTTTTTCGGACGCAATCGCATAAAATAGTTTTCCGCGAAAAATCGAGTAATTTACAGTATCCTCCATTGCGCCATCTCATTTTATTTTTTGTGTCTGAAACCGAAGACTTAGTTTTAGTGAATAAACAGGTATAAAATACGTTCATTTTGCTTTTCTGTTCTTATGCATCCTGAAATCGATGCCATTTGTTTTGTAGTGTAATTTCCTCTATTACACCATTCATGTTTAACCCCACACAAAATATGTATGCTAATGTATTTTTATCAATGGTATATAATTTTTTATAATAAACTTAAGTTGAATATATATCATAGGAGTACTTATTGGTTTATTAAAAAGGTGGAAATTATTTTATTGCGAATGGTTCGAATCACTTAAAGTTCAAGACGTTTTTAGTTTTGCTTTAGTTAATTCACGATGAAAGGTGATCACGAATTCAAATCTGTCGCCCAATTTATTCAGACAATTTCAGCAAGGATCATGTTATTATATTGTATTTGTCGTTTTTCTTTTCTCTATTATTCAAATCCCCACGATAGACCGTATTGCCTGCCGCAATCGGGAACCGTCGGCACTTTCCGTAAACGAGAAAATATTTTCTCGTTTACGGAAAGTGCCGAAGGTTCCCGAATGTTGCTTGCCATTGTTCCTGCTCTCCGCATGGTGGAGAGAAATGTTACTAAGACAGGTAATCCAGTCTGATCCTCGCGAAAATAATTCATCGGCGAAAATTAAGTGATTTGTAACATCCACATTTTAATGTGTTAATTCGACACAGCTTCAATTCAAATCAATAAGCAAAACGTTTATATAACTCTGACATTTGCAGTTTGTAGTATAGAGGTCGTTGGAAGTTGATTTTTTATTTGTTAAACTCGAATTCATTTTAAATTTTACAAATCATTTTTGTGGTATTTTTCATCTAGTTGTCCGGACCCTTATAACCAGGAAAATGTATTTGAATTCAAGGGTTAAATTTTCTGACACTTGCTTTTTTTGAAATAAAAGGTAAAAAAAAAAAAAAAAAAATGTCCAGACGCTTAATAATCCGGACATTTATTAAATTTTAGAACTCTACATTTCCGTTTTAGTGATACCTATGGTAAGATTTAGTTCCTCAGTTACACAAATATCCGGATACACGTGTCCCCAAAAGACCGTGAAATCACTTTGTACATTGTCCGAATAAATGAAAATTTGTATAAAATAAATATGTGATATATAGATTTAGTTCCAAACAATTAATAAAACAGTGAAATATCTGGAATTTGTTTTATTTTGTTTAAAAGTTTGTGTTGCTTTCTGTCCTGTTCTGGGCCTGTCACAATCTCCATGGGATTTTTTAGGATTTTCCCAAGAGTTGGAAAAAAAGGTAAAATCCAGATTTTAACATTTAGTTAATATCTGTATGTAACACATCAATTCACTTTTTTCCCATATGAAAAATCCTTGTTTCAAATTTTAATTGTGTCGACATCATAGCACGAAAATGTCATGCACGTGAGACAAAAAGACTTCTCAAATGCTAAGTTTGTTCTGATCACAAATAGTAATTGAATACTTTTTTATGAGTATTTGAAAACAGACTTCTGTTTCAAATGTCAAACAAAGGGTGCAAATGACCGGTGTCTCGACCCCAAACCGCTGAAAACAACTCGCGGAAGCCACAGTGTGCCGAGTCAGTAAATTCAGCTGTCAGAAAACATCGAGACATTTCGCCATGAAGGACTCTAATACTACAGGTAGTCAGAGGGACGGTTAATATGTTGACTTATTCCGCCCAGTATCGGGGAAGGCAAAACAGGGACTGTTAACCTAAGTCCATGTAACAGCTGCAACCTTACATACATCGGGAAAAATGGCCGGAAATTTGGGACACGCCTAAAAGAGCACCATAAATACTTTGTGTCTACAAGTCTACACTAGAAATACAAGAAAGACATCGAAGAAACAATATAATAAATCAGCCATTACAGACCACGATAACAACCACATCATAGACTGGAACAACTCGGAAGTGTTTGAACGGGAGGACAAATTGAAAGTCCAGGAAATCAAAGAATCAATTTGTGCTACGTGGGAAAGGGTATATAAACGAATAGAGACGAGGGGGCACCCAGCTGAGTCATCTTTCTGACACCAATTTTAACTTCCAATAAGGGGCGGAATCGGTTAACATATTACATTGTAGCACTCCTTCTGTGGCTTAGTGAGTTTTTTTCCGGGGATAAAGAGTCAAGACACTGGGCATTTGCACTCTAACTTGACAAAAGAAACAGCCGTTTTCGAAAGCTCGCAAAACACGTTTTCAATTAATGTTTGTGTTCAAAGCAATCATAGCATTTGTTATTTTTACCAAACTAACGAATCGCATTGCGAATGGATACGTCTTGCTATTTCCCCAAGTACGGTACTCTACTCGACTGGATTTCCCTAAGAGGAATTACGATAGACAAAATTACGAAAATGAAGAAAAAATAAATAACGTCTTTTCATGGTAATTTGGAGGAAACGGCTCAAATTAGCCATCATACGAAAGACCGAAACCCCATCCTCAAAACACACAAAATAATAACAAAACGAAGAACTTTTGTTTATTGTATCTGGAACTCGTCACTTGAACAGCAAAGTCAATTTATTACTAAGAAAATCAAGAATTCATTCATTCTCTGTTAAACAAAAAACACCTATCTGAAAAGCACACATCCGATTCATCTAAATTATCAGGTTACCACAGCTATTGTTTGGAATTTATCTACACACCGGTCAATGAAGTCTCGTTCAACCAGACTCTTGTTGTCTGCGCAAGCTATGCCGAACAGAGAGTCTAGTTAAGGAGGCTCAACCCTTTCGCAATTAGCCAGCACAACTCAATTTAAGTTTCACATAATGGTTATGTCAAAATGTAGAGATGATTAAATGAAAATATAAGCATTCCGATAAACTGGGTGGGTGGGTG